CAAGCTAGAAGGTGATTGATGTTAGACCTCCTGAGTCAAATTATCTTAGGATGTGAAAGACAATTCATTAATTTCACTCTATTCCCAGTGGTATTTGTGACATCTGGATATTTGCTTTATTTGGGCATCATGTCATGTTGAAATAGACTTGGCCTCACCATTTGCTTGTGAATTCAAATCAGGCAGCATTTCTGCAAAATGTGTAGGAAGGGCTAACATAATAAGTTATAATGGGTAGAAACTCTGACAGAATTTAGATAATGTCTCAGCCCCATGAGATAGATCTCTCTTGGGGCTGAGACATTTCACACTTCCTGTCCCTGTGTGATTAGGACAGGAAGTGAGAACAAATCTCACTAATAAGGACACAGTTTTAATCCTTTCAAGTTTTATTAAAAACAGAAGGTTTGTCAGGAGAAAATGTATGGTAGTATTGCTTACTGTCTAATCATATTTCCTTCACATAGCCAAACCTAATTTTCTCATTTTTAAAAGCCTCATCCTGAAAGTAATTTTCCCCATTTGCTGTATTACCAACCAATGCCTTAACCTCTTGCCGTCCGCCCGTAGTAAAAAAACGGACGGACGGCACTGCAGCATCTGCGGGTTGCCGTCTCCAGACGGCAATTTTTTTCTGCTCGCGCGCGCCCCCTAGCGGGCACGCACGGGCAGAAAAGACCCGCTCAATGCGAACACCCGGTACCGGGTGTTTCACATATAGGCGATCAGCGGGTCCATAGCCCGCCGATCGCCTATATGTGCTCGTTCGCGGCACCCCCCCCACCAGGGTTGTTATCCCCCTATATAATAGCAATAACAATAAGTGCAAAAAAAAAAAATATAAATAAAAAAAAATAAAAGTAACACATAAAAAAGTAAAATAAAATAAAAGTCACATATAAAAAAAGGGGAAAAAACCCCCCAAAATGTTTAACTCCCCCACCCCCACGTTTACGCGCCTATAAACGTAAATACGCGTCCGGTGCCCCAGCGCGCAAAAATTACAATTGCGCTACACATGTTACATATCGCCGCGAACGTCGCAGTGAGAGCAATCATTTTAGGGCCATCAATCACTGATAACACTAAACTGATGAGCGGTAACAGCTTTTAAAGCGTCGCCTATGGCCAATTTTGGGTATTATCGTTTTTTGAGGTTTCGCGCGCGCACGCAATTTTAAGGCTTGACATGTTTAGTGTCTTTTTACCCGACGTGACCCCATCTTTTATATTTTACCAAAAAATTGGGTAATAATAAATGTTTTATCATTTAATATAGGGGAAACTGTTTTTTTTTTTTAAATTTCGGTAATTTTTCCTTAATATAGTAAAAAAATAAAACCCCCAGTGGTGAATAAATACCACCAAAAGAAAGCTCTATCTGTCCCCAAAAAAGGGTATAAAATTCATTTCAGTACAGCGCTGCATGACGGAATAAATGTCAGTTAAAGTACCGCAGCGCTGAATACTGAAAAATGGCCTGGATGGGAAGGGGGTTTAACACCGCGGATGTCAACTGGTTAAGAGACCTCAGAAATCTATATGTATCTCACACAGGGATGATGGACTAGGCAGCATGCAGGTCTTGCTGTAAAGGAGGCAGTGTCAAGCAAACCGCTAACAATGAATAAAACAGGGATAGTAGTTGCCGTGCAAGAAAATATTGTCGTCAATTAATGTTTTAATGCAAAATTAAGCCATTACTTTGCTTAAAGCAGGGCACAGGCAACAAGAGTTGTGAAAGGTTGGGTATGGGGTGGACAAATTCATATGGAATTTAGGAGCCAGTCTGTTCATTCCAGGAGCCATCTGCATTTTTTTAAAGTGCCAGCTCTATTGTCAACAACTAGAGTAAAACTCACAAGTTAGGCACCGGCTATAATTTATAGGGAAAATTGGCTACCTAGCTCCTGGGATTCATTCAGCCCTGGGTTGGATACTCTGCCAATTGTATTTCTTGTGTCCCCTTTGGAGAGATTTTCTCACACTTCAACAGCACTACAAAATGAGTAGGGAATCTCTCTAGCGGGAACACAGACAAGCAATAAAAACGTGATGGCGCTTCCAATAGTTCCCCAGTCTAAAAGAGTGCTAATATTGTGGCTATGCCCTTATTAAAGAGATTCCTCCTCATTTCTTGTCCCAGTGACATGACAGGAGAAATCTTGCAAACGAGGACAACAAAAAACATGACAGACGTTCTAACAATCCCCAACAAATTCCAAGAAAAGGTTCAGCTGGAGTTCCATTTAGTGCCAGATGTATGGACCCCACAATTTTCTTTCTCTTGTTGCTAAGGATTGCAAGTGTGTAAAGTTTAGCACTGGTATCACCATGGTAGGCAATGGGCAGATATAGATATATATAATATCTACATCACAAAGAATTCCATGCAGCAACCAAACTTTCAGTTCTGCATTGTGATGTCTAGTGATTTGTTGGGAAACCTTCAACAGCACATTGTTTTAAACATATAACATGAAAACTAAGTGCAGCTAATTTTAGCATACATACCAACAATAAATCCATTAGGTACAACTTTGATAAATGTTAAGTTTCACATCACAGACATTTTTTTTTTAATGCATGGCTGTAGTCAAGAGTCTGCTCTAAATGTCAGTTATTAGACACCAGTTCTTCTGTATGCCTACACCACAATTGAAGAATCACTCATCAACCACTGTATCAGCTAACACTATCTTTTATTCAGGGAGTAAGGAAGATTTCTCCATAGCCTGACAAGCCCCTCATACAATAACGTAAGGTACAAAATAACAAAAGTAGGAGTGAAACATTAACTGCAGAGCAGGGTTTGCACCAGCATCCATCAATCCATATATATGTTTAGGATAAAATTTGTTATAATATTATAGGACGTTTATTTGAGAATTATACCTATTATAAATCAATTTGTAGAACAGATGAGAACTGGGTTATGCACAGCAGCTATAGTGACACTTGACTGAGAGCCAATGTGCCACAGCTTCTAAAGTGTGATGAGAGCTTGAAGTAACCTGTAAGTTCTGTACATGATCTAAACTAGCTACAGCAAGAACATGCAGATTCCACATGCATTCAAACCTCTTCTGAGGTACCCTGGGAGCCTCAAATCCTAGTATGCAAATATTGATGCTGTCCTGCAATGCTGTAGTAAGGCATTCCCCCCTCCTACCTCATGTATTGTCTTCAATAGATGGTCTAACTGGTCAATAGGAACGTGCTGAAGATAGAAAAGGGGGAGTCACCACTTAACCCTTATCTCCATCAAATGGACATACCTGCCACTTCATACCTAAAAAACATTGCAAATAAAACTTCCTATATGAATGTGGTATAAAGCTATTGGTTCCCAAGGTAGGATGGAGCCTGACCTTGGACCTCCATCACTTGCTGGCAAGAAAAGCCTAAAATCTGTGCATTTCTGTCTTGAAAATGTAATTATAGGGTACTATTTAGAGTGTAGGATCAAGGGTGTTGGGGGAGGGGGCGGGTGAAGCTGGCTCTGCTTTTAGATAGGCAGAGCCAGCTGTCAGTCACGCAGCTGGGCGGATCCCGGCACAATTGTCAGGATCCACTTCAGCTGCGGCATCTCAGTATACCGCGAGCTGTAGCTCGCGGTATACTGAGATGCCGCAGTATACCGCGAGCTGTAGCTCGCGGTATACTGAGCCTAGGGTGACGGGAGGATGCTAGTTTGTGTCCTCCCGTTACCCTAAGGAGAACTATGGGGAAAAGACTTAATCCCATAGTTCTCCTTTAACATCTGACTTTACAATTGCCTAACAAAGACAAATGGAGCTGGTGATATTTTATATTTATTTTTCCTTAAGCCCATTTACTTAAAGCACTATTGTGAGGTTCTACTTTTAAAGCTATAAAATAAGTAACACACAGGGAGATCCAGCTTGGTCTTATGTGAATGGGCTCCCAGACAAAACAAAAATAAGCTATTTGATGTGACCTCCAATACCGCACTCGTATGTAGGTCATATGTTATTGCCTAGGGACAAGCAAGGCATGTGAGGAATTTACCAACATCCTGCCCTAACAGTGTTTACATGACACTCATCAGTCCCAAACCGTTACAATAGACATTTTCTGGAGCCTGCATATGTTTTTCTTGTCAAAGGCAAGAAGTAATATTTATCAAGCAGAGGCTGTTTTATGAGTGAGTAGTTAATGAATTCTGCTTTCACAGGTGCAGAAAGTGGGAACATATCCCAGAAACTATAAATCTTTGCTTGAATAATTTATCTAGTGACAGAATATAGTATAAATAGTTGCTGGTAATGAAATAAAGGATAACAATGTAGGTACTGTATGTAGTGCACCATAATGCATACAGAATTCAAGTTTTTTTTACTGATAAAGTTGTTATGAAAGTAATATGACTTTTTATGTTTTTAATGTTCAAATCAGTGCAGAATGGTGAGGAGCTTTATGTCACCAATATAAATATGTTATAGTGCGGTCAGCACTATATAAATGCCTATAATACAATATAAGAATAATTAATATATAGTGATACAGCCTGTCCCTCTTCCACTGTCTGATGTCAGCAACTCTGTTCCAGTTCAATGGGCATGTTCACCTTTTTCACCAAAAACACAGCACTTTTAAAAAATTATTTTAGAGAACATTTCACCATTTTGCCACTACACCAGTTAGCTGTCTCATCTCCTTTAAATATGGTGAAAAGCAGCTGGTCAACAATCACTGAAAGGTGTTTTGTAGGAGAAAAAAACTATACTTTCCTTCACTCTATAAATCATGCCATATAACACAAAAAAAATATTGCTGCAGATTGCAATCATTGTCATAAAAATCAATGTGTAAACAAGCTTTTATATTAAGATGTTTGACGATTTATGTCCTCTGGTGTTCATTTGATAACTTTTTTTTTTTTAATCAATGTGTAAACAAGCTTTTATATTAAGATGTTTGACGATTTATGTCCTCTTGTTTTTATTTGATAACTTTTTTTTTTTTTTTTTTTTTAGAGACCACCGATTCCAGAGGATGATATTAAGCTAAAGAAGGACACGGATCAAACTAGTGCCAACCATTCAAAACCTATAGATATTATTTTGACAAGCAACGAAACTATGGATTTTGAGGTGTCAGAGCGTAAAGGAGTGACTGTAGTCAGTCCAGATGTTGTAGCTGACAATCAGAGTAACCTGCTCCCTGCTGCTGCAAGCCACAATGGACTGAAGGACAGACATGAATCACTAGACAGTGATGTTGCTAAAGAGATACAATACTTAGATGAGGTGTTGGAGGCAAACTGCTGCGACACTGTTGCAGACAACCCCTTCAATGGATCGACCTCTCCAGAACCAGCTGCTATTATTACTGTTGATGGCTCAGGTCCTTTTGTTAGTGTTACCAATGATTGTTGCACTCCCGAAATGGAAATTATAGCAGTGAATCATAAGCCTCTCCCAGTTGTAGAAATTGAAAAGTCCACAGAAAGCATGGAATCAATTAAAATTAATGGACATTCTAGAGAGGAGTTGAAAGATGATCACAGTGATGTGTTTACATATCCTACCAGCCCAAATTCTTCAAATAGTTCACGCAGGTCATCAAAAGATGGAGAAAATATTCCAAAAGTAATTAAAAAAGAAGCAAAATTTGAACTTCGTGCATTCCATGAGGAAAAAAAGCCATCAAAACTGTTTGAAGATTTCAATGAGAAGGAACATATAAGAGTAAGAAAAGTCAGACCTACGGAGGAAGTTGTAGAACTAGAAAAGGAAAGGATTGAGCTTATTAAAAGCCAAGCTGTGAAAAAGAACCCAGGCATTGCAACCAAGTGGTGGAACCCACCTCAAGAAAAAACAATAGAGGAGCAGCTAGAGTCTGACCACCTAGAGTCCCATCTCAAATATAAAGAGCGGAAACAAAAACAGCAACAAGTCACATCTTCACCACCCATTAAAAGTGCTTCTGTGTCACCTGTACCTCCAGAAACGCATACTGTGAATAAGGAAGACATTGTTACTGAACAAATAGACTTCTCAGCGGCAAGAAAACAGTTTTTAAACATGGAAAGTACAAGCCAGACCAGCTTCAGAGCCCCACCAAAGAGATCAGTTGCTCCAACCCTTTTTACTGTGAAACCTTTCTATAAAGTAAGCTATGATAACAGAGCTCAGTCATCTGTCACAGTAACTAATCCATTTAATGAGTATGTTGACACAGTCAAACCTGATGACTTGTCACTTGTCAAAGCAGAAAAAATTGTCTGTTCTTCTGAAGACCAGCAATGGACCCATCAGACAGTTTTGCCAAAGTCTTCAACAGAACACTCTGGCAAGGCCTTGACAGAAGACAATGAATGTGTCAGTGCTTCCGCAAAACTTACAGTTGTGAAGGACGATGATTCTGACATTTCAGACCCATTTATTAAATCTGTTACTGTGTCTTCTATACCTGAGGAGCTGGACTCTGGTTTAGATGATTTATCTGTAAAATCTCAGGACACCACAGTTATGGAAACACTTTCAAATGATTTCAGCATGGACAATATCAGTGACAGTGGTGCATCAAATGAAACTATTAATACCCTACATGAACATTCACTTGGGGAGTTCTCCCAGCCACAAACACCTTTACATGAGAATGATTACACAGTAGAGGGAGTGTCCAAATCATTTAGTGATCAAGGTTTTTATTCACCATCTTCTATGCTGCATGACTCTATTGTTTCTGAGGATCCAATAGAATACCAGGCTGGTGTGTTGGTACAAAATGTAATTCAACAAGCTCTTGCAGAAAAGGCTGGAATAAGAGAATACAGTATACAAGAGCATCCAGCAATGCCCAGCGAGGAAACGAGGAAAGACTATAATGAACAGAAGGACATAGTAAGTGAGGATCCAAGATCATTTACTCCAGAGAGTCAAGATGAAACAGTATTTGAGCCAACTCAAATTTCTTCACCAGTGCAAGAAACAAGAGGTGCAACCGTGACACCAAAGGCTTCTGAGCAAGAGCCTCAAACTAGACAACATAAAGTCCCTGAACCATTGTCTATAGCACCAGTAACTGATGAAGATCCCATTGAAGAAACTAGGCAGGAGAGCTACTTTAGCAAGTATTCCCAAGCTGCTGAACTTAGAAGCACTGCTTCCATTTTGGCAACACAAGAATCTGAGATAACAGTTGGCCCATTTAAACTTAGATCAAATAAGCAGAGGACACTATCAATGATTGAAGAGGAGATCCGAGCTGCACAGGACAGGGAGCAAGAGCTGAAGAAGCAGAGACAAAGGCAAAGCTTGCAAAGTCCAACAAGCCCTTCATGCAAGAATGTACCTGTAATGCCAACAAGAACAGCCTCCTACAAAACAGCACCAGGTAGGTAATGCTTGAATAATTAAAGTGTATGTATACCCCAAGCTATTTTTTCAGTTTTAAACAAAAGAGGAGAGGGTTAAAGCCCCTGTCATGGAGTTTGGAAGTAGGAGTAAATCTCTACAAAGTGAGCAGAATTACACTCTTAGACAGCTGTCCTCCGAACAAGGGTCCCCAATGAAATATGTCTCCACTATTCCTGTTCCTGATAATAGCCAACAAGGCAAATAGAAGGTTGAGTCTCCCCAGCTGGGACCCAAGCAGCAGGAAGTAAGCGGGAATCTTCCTAACAAGGACACTGCCGACAAACATGACAGGTGTTCTAACCCTTCCCTGCTCTATCCAAAACAAAATTAGGCTTTAAAGCAGCACAGACAACAGTGATGACTTCTAAAATCAAGGCAGAGCAAAACGTCTGAATTTAACATTTACCATGTATTATTTAAGAATTTAAGAAAATAGAAAGTGATTTGCGTTTGCTGTTTTGGGTTACTGCATTTTACTCTTTGCCTTATTTTGGTGCTGTTAATATTTTGCAAGCTTTTTATCCGCATTCAGTGCACATAAATATTGCACATAAATCTGCCAGCCACATTTTTGTTTCCCAGTTTTGAAGTAACCAATCATTTCAAGCAGAAATTGCGACAGGCATTGATGTTGCCTTGGTAAAGTTTTGTAGTAGTTTTAATTGTTTGGGTGACAATTGAAACAATGACAGGTTTCTGTGGACAGGAACTAGCCAATCTGTGACTAGACATTGTTCACGGTTAATGCATTGTGTCTAATGTGTTAATGGATGTATTGATGTGTTTTAAAATGTGTTTACATAGATTCCATTCTATTTATTTGAATGGGAAAATGCAGATCTACACACCAATGGGCGTAATATGACCAGTAGGGATGAGCTCCAGTTCAGACCAAAGTTCTGAAATTGGAAGGAGCCCCTCTTGAACACAGAAGGCATTCTCTGCCCAAAACCTGACATACGCAAAGGGGCGGGCTGCGGTGACATAATGCACACATGCCAATACCTTGTTTGGAGGAGCTCAGGTTAGTACCATGTTCAGTTCGAACCAGAGCTCTTCCCTAATAACCAGCTGAAAGTAAGTGGAATATCTTGTGTGTTAACATATGTTGCATTAAAGCAGCCCACACATTTTGAATGGGCTGCCTACGCCCAGCAATAGACAAAAAAGAAACCTGTAGCATTTTTTTGCAGCATACTGCAACACACGTTATGTGTTTTGTGGTGCACTGCAGCGCAGGTCCATTGGCACGTATTGTACTTGTGCATTAGGGTATTCTTAATGAATATCACCTCAACATCTATTTTTAACTACATGTTACCATAATGCATAAGTGTGAACAGGACATAAATTATTTTTACAATTACATGCATTCTGCCTTGGTTGGAAAATGGACCTGAACTTTAGACACTGTGCCCAAAAATACAAGCAGGGAGCAAAGCACTAGTCCCCATTACTAATTTACCATGCCTTGTTCTATACTGTGTTTTTGGGTGGAGGTGACCATCTTGGTATAGGAACAATGCTTTGGTTCTTCATGTAAGATCTGACCCTCTGATGACTGGTGATCTGATGACATATGAGGGAAAATTGCATTTCTTGATGTATGGTCCCCCCCATACATCCAGAAATGCCCATCAGAGTCTTCCCTTATATCCATTTGTATCCAACAGAGTCCTCCCTTACATCCAGGAGTGTCCATCAGAGAGAGTCCTCCCTTACATCTAGGTGTTCCCAACAGAGCGCCCTTTACCTTTCAGGTGGCAGAGCAGCACGGTGAAAGCTGGAAGGTGGGAGCTAGTCTGGACAGAGAACGTTCGTTCTTCCTGTAAATGCTGGGATAGGGCAATCACTTAATTGTTTGCTAGGATGCCTGTGGTCCTACCAACCGGCCAGGAGGAAGGAGGTAGGGTCTGCGCTGGGAACTGATTGAGGGTTATGGGTGGTTGGTAGTGGATGCGCTGGACTAAGTATTATGATACACAGACCAGTGCATCCACTGCGGGCCAGATAAAATCTTGTAGTGGGCCAGATGTGGTCTGCGGGCCGTAGTTTGGAGACCCCTACTTTAATTGATCTCACACTGCACATATACAGAGCCATAGGCACAGGAGATTCTAGGCCCACTCATACCATAAAGTACTCTGCTAGCTTTCAGGAGGAATTCACGATGAAAGAAACATTTTTAGGTTACCACAATTGGCATTTGTTAAAGTTTCTTATAAGATAGCAATTCCTAATTTTTTTTTTTAGTTCAGCCCCACTGAAAGTGAATGTACATAAACCCTCCCAGTACATTGTTTGTAACTTTGAACAAAAAAGATTTAAATTACACTTTATGAACAAAATCAAGTAAACTTCCAAAATATCTGTTACAGCTGTAAATTACAGAGCATTCATTTTGTAAAAGCTTATTAACAAAACAAAAACAGTTTTAATAGAAATATATTAATTCTCAGTAAAGCCTGACATGTATCTTTTAAATGTGAAAACACTTGTATTGATCTCTAAGAGCAAAGTTCAGATGTGCAGGGCCGATAAACAGACATGAATTCTTTAATAGTAATCATAGCAATCCCTACAAATATATGCAGAAGTCTTCCATGAATAGTCTACTGCATTGCATTTTTGCCTCTGCCTGGCTTCATCTGTTGGAAATTACAAGCCAATTAGCTCACTGGGAAAGAGTTCACCAAACAAATGTGTGTTATGTACATAAGTATTGTCTGCTAAATCTCTTTTCAATAGAGGCTTTTCTACAAAGCACTAGTGGATAAGCCCACATTGAATTGATGTGATAGGAAAAACAGCCATCAACAAAATGGGAAGCTAGCCTTCTAATGCCAAGTATATTTCCAATGATTGCGGTAAATGTAGGATTATTCGTTATAGGTGCTGCATGACTGCAATTAGTAACTTGGCCACAGTAAATTAACTAAATGCAAAATATGATGCAGTAAAGACACATTACTAAAATATTAAAACCCAAATTCTACCAAAACTCTATCCAAAACTAAAGGAATAATATTTGGCAGGAGTGAACCTGTGACCAGGCTGTGGACATTCAAGTATTTACATACTCTTAACATGCAGTAAATTAGCTTTAAAGCAAGCCCTCCCTGATTTCTGTAGAAGAGCAGAGAGATCTCAGCTGCTGAGAGTTTGACTTGAATGACTTCAGTGCTTCTGCTGTGAACTTTGAGGAATACTTTCTCCACCATGCCTGCAGCTACAAAGATCATTGTGGAGCAATTCATTTTGAAAGTACGCAGCAAAAGCACGGCAGTCATTTAAGTTGTTTTCTTACCAGTACAATGCTCTGTGCTTCCCTGCAGGACTCACTTGAGGACTTTAAATGTCCATAACTTGCCCAAAGTTACACTATATAGTGACCTTGTTGATTCCCCGCAAATAATCAAAAGAATTGATATGCAATTAAAGGCTATACATACTCACCTCTTCTTGGGAAATGAAGCCAAACTACACTGTCTTCGGGGACTAAAACATTGCTGGGTGGTTGCCCGGTCCCCTGCAGCTCTCAATGTTTCCTTCTGTTGTCCACATCATCACTACTTTGTGGGAGGAGCCACAGTGGGTAGAAGTGTCGAATGCTAAAGACTTTGCCTGTGGCCATAGCTACTAAAGACAGCGGGCTTGCTTCCCAAAAGTCTAAACTAACCATGTTCTACAAATGTTTTCCATAAGAACATTAAGGAGTTTAGTTATCAAAGTTCACACAACTTTCAACCCACGATTCACAGTTTTTAACCTACGATTCCCTTAATTGTTAAAGAGGAACTTTACCCATATCTTTAAAATAACAACAAACAAACCTTTAGAAATGTTTATTAATGACAATCTACAAGCACATACTTCTAGATAATTGCTGGATTTTTATTCTTGCATACCTTATTTTTCTTTTCTTCTCCAGTCTTCTGGCAGTGGCCATGTTAACTAAGGGCAGATTACTAGCTCTCCATTCACTTCCTTAAACTATGGCACATGTGACTAGGACATGTGAACATGCACATTATCTCAGGGGAGGAAAATGCCTTTCCCTGAGATCTCATGAGCAATGCTCTGCTGATGTAACCTTCCCAAGATGCAATGCTTTGGCACTTACATTATTTGTGCCAGAACTGGACCAGGAAGTAGATGAACTCTATTTGTAAGTAAATGGAAAACCACATGTGTTTAGCTAATGAATGTAAGATGATTTTAAATCTGCATGCAGAGCTGCATGCTTTGTAGTAAAAGGGGGTAAAGGTCAATTTTAAATATTGGGTTGAAGTTGTGTGAAAGTTCGGAAAACATATTTATAACAGATCCCTAAATATGAGGTGTCCCAATAAGATAAGTGATTTCCGTTCTGGGATATCCTATTTTACAATTAACTTCTACAGTGGTCTCTGTTTTGATTGACACTTTGGTGACTAATGAACACACCTTGGACTCTGTGAAATATTTTAGGTGTCTACAATGGTTATCAGTGTTCTTAATAGAAATCAATTATCTCTATTGTAAAACTGTGTACATTGTCCCTAGGAGTGGGTAAACAGAGCTGGGACTGAGGCAAACACAGTATAATACCATGAGGACAAAGTCAATTCTATTGTTTTATAGAACAGAAGAAAAGTGTATAACTATTTAGTTGGTAGCGAAAGTATAATGTGGCAAGAGAACAAAAAGTTAAAGGGAACGTGTCATGAGGGAAGTAAGTAGTGAGAGAAGTAAGTAGTAAAATGTAAGTGAGCTTTGCTGACTTCACTGATACTGCAAATTCCCTGGCTGTCATTGACCTGGAACAAATATAGAGATTAGAAGTTCTGACTATTCCACAGCTTTTCTTTGATTTATGCTTGTTTGAGGTCTGTGACTTGTGTTAAAGCCAGACACCTACAGGCAGCAAACATATTTAGAGGAACTCCAGCAATGGCTGCCCCCATACTTTCATGACAGGTATACATTAAAGCTATA